AAGAAAACAAAATTAAAAAAAAAATATATATATATACTAACACTTTAAACAAAGAATTTAAATTAAAAAATAAATAAATAAAACCCTGAAAAAAAATTCTTTGATGGTTTTAGCAATATCTTTTTGGATATGTCTCCTTGGGCAAGGGTAAACAAACAAAAAGTAAACAAAAGGGACTACATTAAACTGAAAAGTTTTTACATAGTGAAGAAAAACAACAAAATAAAAAGACAACCTACTGAATGGGAGAAGATATTCATAAGTGATACATCTGATAAGGAGTTAAACTCCAAAATGTATAAGGAACTCATACAACTTAATGCCAAACCCCCTCTCCCCAAACAATCCAATTAAAAAGTTGGCAGCGGAACAAGTAGCCATTTCTCCAAAGAGGGCATACTCATGGCCCACAGACATATGTAAAGATGCTCAGCATCACTAATCTTCAAGGAAATGCAAATCAAAAACACAATGAGATATCATCTCGAAGCAGTCAGAATAGCTATCATCAAAATATAAAAAAATGAGGATGTGGAGAAAAAGGAGCCCCTGTGCACTACTGGTGGGATTGTAAATTGGTGCACCCACTATGGAAAACTGTATGGAGATTCTTCAAAAAATTAAAAATATAGCTGCCATATGACCCAACACTTTCATTTCTGGGTATTTATCCAAATAAAATAAAAACGCTAATTCAAAAAGATCTATACACCCCTATGTTCATTTCAGCCTTAATTACAATAGCCAAGATATGGAAGCAACCTAGGTATCCATTGATAGATGAGTGGATAAAGAAGTGGCATACATGTACAATAGAACATTATGCAGCAATAAAAAAGAACAAAATCTTGCCATTTGCAACAACATGGATGGACCTAGATGGTATTATGCTAAGTGAAATAAATCACACAGAAATATAAACACTATTTGATTCCACTTATATGTGGAATCTAAAAAAACCAAAACAAATCTAAATAAACAAAACAAAACAGGCTCATAGATATGGAGAACAAGCTGGTGGTTATCAAAGGGGAGGTGGTGAGGGGATGGATTTTTTAAAAAGGAAAAAAAGAGCAATATTTGAAGGTTCCTACTGAATGAGATTTTCTCTATTTTACACATTCAAAAAGTATATATTTTTATCAGAATATTTTATTTCAAGAATTAACTTTTTTCAAAAAGTAAATACAATATTGTTACTTCCCTGAGTATAAAGAACTAACCCTACAATAAAAGACAATTACAAAATTAAAACAATTAGAGGTACATATTTTCTGTATTCAATTATACTATATTACAAATTTATTCTTAAAAACCTCATGTTTTTTGGAACTTTAGTTAATGTTTAAAAAAGCAAAACAGTTCATTTCGCACCTGTGACGTTAAGGTATGTCTGATCTGTCTTTATCAAATTCCAGGGCAATCTTTAAAGCAGTGCCATTGAGTCCTACAGACTGCATGTTACATATGATGGAAACAACTACTCCCCTTGGAGGAACCTTGTTACATACAGATTCTGCATCCAGTTCTTCAGGAAGGATGAGCAGGACACTACTGGCACCCACGGCACCTCCAGTATGTGAGGCATAATGCCGTTGCTTCCTACAAGAGCCGTATGTTTGCTTCTTTTCCACGACACCCCATGCCATTGCATATTTCCCCTCTTTATCCCAAGACATCTCTGTGTTCGGGACTGGTGTCCAAATCATAACCATGGTTTCTGGTTTGAGATATCCAGGCAAAAGATTTTCATTTGCGTTCTTAAACAGCCTGACTTGGTAACCATACAGCATTGCATTCCCAAATTTCAGAAGGTCACCCACTGTAGACAGAAATCCACCACCAGCCCACTTATAGGAGTTATCCACGTAAGGTGTGTTGACAAGACGTCCCTTTTTATTGTAACTATAAAATCTAAAATAAAATAAGAACGGTGATTAAAAATTTAATAGTCTATTGTTGACTTTACAGATGAAAACGAATAGGAAAATGTACATGAGACAGATTGCATTTCATTGTAGTAATCACACATTCGCAGGAACTAACCACTAATTTTCAGGATAATTCAGATCTTAATGAAATACAAATAACTGAGTAGTCTAATTGCCTTGTGAATTAAAGCATAGAAAGTGGGTTATTTTTTCTATTGTCATGTTTGCCCATACTGAGTGTATCAAACTTTAAATAACTGCAAAAAATTTAATGATTAAGATTACACATGCCTGGTCAGCATGGCTCAGTGGTTGAGTGTTGACCTATGAACCAGGAGGTCATGGTTTGATTCCTGGTCAGGGAACATGCCCAGGTTGCAGGCTTGATCCCTAGTAGAGGGTATGCAAGAGGCAGCCAATCAATGATTCTCTCTCATCATTGACATTTCTTTCTCTCCCTCTCCCTTCCTCTCTGAAATAAATTTTAAAAAACGATTACACATGATATATTTGCCCCATGCATATGCAGAAACACCTATGGTTTGGCAGAGAGTCCTTAGACTTAGTGAATCATGTGCCACACATGAACTTTATAAGTAAAAGTGTACACATCAAGATGTTTAGAAATAAGCCCTAACCAGTTTTGCTCAGTGGATAGAGCATCAGCCTGTGGACTGAAGGGTCCCAGGTTCGATTCTGGTCAAGGGCATGTACCTTGGTTGCGGGCACATCCCCAGTAGGGGGTGTGCAGGAGGCAGCTGATGGATGTTGCTCTCTCATTGATGTTTCTAACTCTCTATCCCTCTCCCTTCCTCTCTGTAAAAAATCAATAAAATATATTTTTAAAAAGATGCTTAGAAATAAGATTAATATTTGTAAGGAGACTAGATCTCTTGGCTAAAAGTACCATAGAAATACCATATATAATGATGTGATGTGGTACTTTCTTGGTGTAGAAACTGGAGTTAGCAAACCTCAGTCTGGACCACAATCTCACCTTTTCTATCTATGCTTATTTTATTTGATTAACAAACACTTATAAAGTTCTTACTATGTGCCAAGCATTGTTCTAAGAACTACATAAATATGAACTAATTTATTTTTGTAACAACATTAGGAGATAGGTATTATTATAATTCCTATTTTATAGATGAGGAAACTGAGACACGGAGAGTATAAATAGCTTATACTCTTATAGCTTACACCACATTCACACAGCTTGTAAGTGGCAGAGTGTGAATTTAAACCCAGGCAGTCTGGCATTCCTATTCACTGCTTTAGCATCCTATCTTGTAAAATGAGGACAAAAATATCTATTTGCAGAGTTAGGAATATATGTATGAAACACTGCATATTTCTGGCAGGTACTTAATAAATGATAGTTACGCCCTGACTGGTTTGGCTCAGTGGATAGAGCGTCGGCCTGCGGACTGAAAGGTCCCAGGTTTGATTCCGGCCAAGGGCATGTACCTTGGTTGCGGGCACATCCCCAGTAGGAGGTGTGCAAGAGGCAGCTGATCGAAGTTTCTCTCTCATCGATGTTTCTAACTCTCTATCCCTCTCTCTTCCTCTCTGTGAAAAATCAATAAAATATCTATTTTTTAAAAAATAAATGATAGTTAATATTTACTCATGCATTCAACAATTATTGGTGGAGCACTCACTCTGTGGCAGGGACTGTTTGGATGCTGGGATAAAGTGTTAAACAAAAGAGACAGTGTCTGACCTCATGAGGTTTCTATGCTAATGTGAGGAGGCTGTAACATAAATGAGGTAAAAAAATGAAGTCACAAAATAATTAAACAAAAAATGAAACTTGGCTCAGGAGAATCCTTTCTTTCAAGATTCATAATAAAATGATGCTCTTAGGTTTTTGGTTTGCTGACTGTCTCACTCTGATGATCTTCATCTTCCTTCTATGCTGGCTGTGCAAAGCCCTGTCAGACCTGGATCTCACCATCACGCTGAACTGTTTTATCTCTAAGGTCTCAGACTCAGAAATTTCTTCCTATGACTTCGATTCTTCGAGCCCTTCAATGAACCTGCTCTCTGCCCTCCCTGTGACCTCCGTCTATTCCCCTCCATCTAGTCCCCTGACTCTTCCATCTCCCCAGGTTTTTTGTTCCTACTGATTTCACCGGATTTTCTGTCCTAACCTGAACTAAACCATCAGCCATTTCAACTACTTCAGCTGCCATCTTACTAGCTCCTTTAGGTTCCTCACTCTTCTGACCAATCCTGAATACATATAGGCAACCCTTTCCTTGGCTCCATTATCTGCCAAGAAAGGCTATAGAAATTCATCTAACAAAGGTGACTGATACCAATTCATACTCTTGCTAAGGGTCTTGACTGCTGTTATCAAATCTTTTCATTCTCTTCCTGGTTATTCCCTGGTATATTCTTCATAATAGCCATTCCCAATCTCTTCCACTCTCAGCCCTCTACTCTACCTCAGGCCCAATCAGCAGATAACTGTACCTTTTGTTTTACTGAAAAGATTGAGACCATCCAAAGTGAGCTAGAAACTCCAATCTTTATCTCAAAAGGTATTTACATCATCATCCATTTTTTCCTTCCCTTGTCACTTAAGAAATGTCCCTGTTATTTTTAAGACTAATTCCATGATCTACATCTTTGCCTCTAAACTTTGCTCCATCAGTTATACTCCCAAGATGATTTATCTCCTTGCAGTCCATTCTCCATGCAGAAGCCTGAGATTGTCTCCTCCTTCTCCCATCCATTGGAAACCCTCCAATGGTTACCACTGTAATGATAATAAAACCCAACTTTCCTACCATGGCCTATAACACAATCAATGGTCCTCAATAGAGGCAGTACCAACCCCATAAGCAAACATTTTGGAGGCATTTTTTTTCAGTGGTCACAATTATTAGAAGGATTTTACTGACATTTAATAGATAGGGGCCCAAAGTTCCTAAATGTCCTGTGGTGCATGGAAAAGTCCCACACAATGGTCCATTCTCCTGTATGCTGCAAGACTTTCTGTGCCATGCTGGGAACTTTGACTCCTTCACCTTAGTTCCAAAATGCTCTAGTTTCCTAGATCCTAAGCGGGGAAAAACTTTTATCTTTTAAAAAATCCTCACCCGCCCTAACTGGTTTGGCTCAGTGGATAGAGCATCGGTCTGCAGACTGAAGGGTCCCAGGTTCGATTCCAGTCAAGGGCATGTACCTTGGTGGTGGGCACATCCCCAGTGGGGAGTGTGCAGGAGGCAGCTGATCAATGTTTCTCTCTCATCGATGCTTCTAACTCTCTATCCCTCTCCCTTCCTCTCTGTAAAAAATCAATAAAATATATTTTAAAAAAATCCTCACCCAAGGATATATTTTTAAAATCTTTTAATTGAATATTAGGTGGAGAAGGGAGAAAGGGAGAAAGAGAGACAGACATCAATGGATTGCCTCTCATACGTTCCCCAAACAGGGATTGAATCCCCAAAGTAGGTATGTGCCCTGATCAGGAATTGAACCCACAACCTTTTGGTGTATGGGATGATGCTCCAAACAAATGAACCACCCAGGCAGGGCAAAACAACAACACTTTTATCTTTTTATCCTTGTTACATCTTCCAGTTAACTGTCCTTTCTCTCTCATTTACTGCCCAACTATGTAAAACAGTCTAGTCTACACCTGCTGTTTCCATGCACTCACCTTCTGCATTCATTCAATTCCTTCTATTCTGGCTGCTGTTCCCCCATCACAACTAAATTAGAAGATCTCTTATGGGTCATCAAGGATCTTCTAATTCCCTTTTACAGTTCTCATCCTATTTGCCCCCATGTAGCACTATTAACCAGCACTTCCCTGACACTCCCCTCACACAATTCTGCTCTGAGCTCTCTCTTCTAGTTCTAATCCCATATACTCCTCCAAACACTAGTGGAGATAACTATAAATTTTCTTTTATGGAGATAACTATAAATTTGTACCTGTACCACAACCCGTTCCCAATTGACAACCGGTTTTGGAGAAGGGCAGGAAAGTTGTTTATCAGACTCACCTCTGGACCTCCTACCTCCCAAAATTATATCTTCCCTTAAAAATTCATAACTTTGGAGGGACTGGGGGCATAGTTTGAAAAGTAACTCCTCTTTCTTCCTTCAAGATTTTTATATGTCCCCTAAAAGCCCAAGTCATAATATTGAGTGAAGCAGGGGTGGCCATAGGTATGTGCTTTAAAGATTAAAAGAAAAAGTCTACAGCCCGGCCAGCGTGGCTCAGTGGTTGAGCATCAACCTATGAAACAGAGGGTCATGGTTCTATTCCCAGTCAGGGCATATGCCCAGGTTGTGGACTCAATCCCCAGTGTGGGACATGCATGAGGCAGCCAATCATAGATGTTTCTATCTCTCTCTCC